AAAGGTTAGGAGTAGTGAAGAGGACTCCTAAGTCACTAAGACCAAGTCACAAACTATTCCTAAAATGGCTGTTGCCAGCCATCTGCCTCTGAACGTAAACATTTTAGAAACATTTGATGATAATGACCTTTTAAAAAGGTATGACCTTTGGTTTGTTTTTTTTTTTGTTGCTTTTTTACATTTGCATGTATTACTATCAGCCATGATTATTCTACTCTGTTAATTAAAAGGCTGTTTATAAGCATATCCGCTAACTGTTTTTGAGAAGCATACATGTAAGAGGCTGACAAAAAGCTGAACATATACTTGTTTAATTAGTGACACTTATCCTGCATTTTAAAATCTTTATTTGAATGTGGCAATTAACATTTTTCTTTTTAAACCATTATTTGAATATGGCAACATAATATTGTGCTCTACAATATTTCCATGAATAAATCTCTGACAGAGACTATCAGCCAATCACTGTGTGCATAGTTAATACGCATGCTGACATCATCCATAGCAAGAGGTCAACCCCGCCCCCTTACTCTTAGCTTAAGACTTCTCTCTATTCCTTAATAAAAGTTTGTCTCAGCAGCAAACTCTTAGCTAAAAACTGCTATTACTGCTATTTAGGAGAACTCTTAGTGGTAAGATAAAACGTTTTGTGAATACGGGCCCTGATTATTAGCGTACCTGATTGTTTGAACTCTTTCCACAGGGTCCAAAGACGATTTTAAGGCAATCAAATACCCGAAATCAAATCAATCCATTTCTCTCGTGTCTTTTTGCTTTCCAAGGGGAAAACCTTTATTATGGCATAAATATTTTCCATTTCACAGGAATTTGGCAGAGTATTGTTTTAGGTGTGTGCGCTCTAATGCTGCGGCTTTATTTCTGAAGAGGATACGGAGAGTTCACATGCTGCAAATGCAATCCAACACCAGATTCTTGGCGTGTTTGTGGATTAAAAGCTTAATTAAAGTGAAATAAAATTTCTCTCATTCCTTCATGAGATTATAGCCGTCTTAAAACATTCACTTCGGAATGGGATAGCTTTACACCAAAAACATTATTCCACCACACAAATCCACACACACACATGCATACAGTACTAGGCAATCTCTTGTTTCTTTACCACTTATTTGAGACAACATGCAGCCACATCCATTATCCTGTTCTTTATGTCTTTCCACACCAGCTGACAGTTATGTAAAGGTGTTATTGTTAACTTGCCCCGGGAACTTTCAGCTCAGAGGGGACACTGATACCATCCCTGTGAGGAACACCAGTGCTCAGTCAGGACTTCCTCATGGGTGGCTTCCTCTCCACAGACACACACACACACACACACCTCCATTCTATGGAAATACAGCTGTACAGCATGTATGTGAATGTGTACAGGTTTGGTTGTACACGTGAGGACCACATTTTGGAATATATTCTCACTTAGTAAAACACAATAAAAACAACTTGTGAAGACATTTAAAGTGGTCCTCAATATTTAAAAGGTTCATAATTCAGCCAAATCATGTTTTGATTCAAGTATGATAATGTGAGCAGGTTTCTGTGAAGGTTAAGAGTATAGAAAATATCATTATCATAGTTTGAAAAACTTTATGTCTATGGGAGGACCTCTAGGAAATTTTGTCTTCTTGTAAATGGCTCAACTTGTCTGGGTCATGTTGTCAGGATAATCTAAAAATGTGTTTCATGGGTAAGATTTAAATCAACTGGTAAAAATAAAATAATAAAATAAAATAAATGTTTAAATACATTTTATATTTCTAAAAAAGAACAAAAATATATATTTTTTTTTTTCAAAAAGTAAAAAAAAAGTTTTTTGTTTTTTTTATAATTATTTATTATCATTTAAAATGGATTTCACCATTGGAATGCATGTTTAACGGTCATATCAGGGAATAAGTAAGCAAGCAATTAAGTGCATAAATTAACAAATGAATAAGCGAATAAATGAATACAAGTTAACAACAAGACATTTACTTTGTACAGTGTTCTTTTGTGCATTAATAATATTCTGCAAGAAATATTACCACACGAAAACACAATATTAGTCAAACCTGTTTTATAACTATTAATGCTATATTAAGTTATATTTCTTAAATACAGTATAACTTAAAAATGTTTTTTGTTGTTGTTTTTTATTTATTTATTTCTTTTTTGATTAAAACACTTTCTTTCTTTAATCCAACCTATAATGACTACAAGCAAACAATTCTAGGATTCTCACAAAAATTGGCTAAACAAATGGTTTGATTTTGGTTGCAACAATCTGTTTGTCCGACCAAAGGAATACAGAGGTTTTAAAAAAAAAAAACTACTTAAATAAATAAATAAATTACACACAGCCACATGCATTTTAATTGACGAGAATTCAGCAAAGGATGAATCAGCCAGACTGTGGTGACAAATGTTCACAGGTGTGTGAGTTTGCTCTGGTGCTGGTGGATATCAGAATCAGTCTTGGCATTTCACCAAGCCGTGTTTGCTTAGATCAGCCTAGAGTACATTGCAAACACACACACACACTCTCTCTAGGTGCAAAACACAAACACATATTCCCTCTCCATATCTCTTTGTTTCTTTCTTCATTGTTTTCCACACAAACAGTGTGTGTATGCCTGTAGGTGTCAGTGTTTGATACGGTAAACAGCTCCAGAGGTACATACGTGTGTGTGTGTGTGTGTGTGTGTGTGTGTGTGTGTGTGTGTGTGTTGGGGCAGATGAGAGCTCTTG